TCACCATTGTATCCCTAGACCCAAACTAGGGCCAGGAAGGGAGATATTATTAATAAATACTTGTTGAACTGAGGCCAGACTGCAAATGGGAACCTCAAGGTGTACTCAGATAGTCCTCGATTTAATGTTGGGCTCTGTCACCATGGTCCTGACACTCTGAGCAACTTGCTTCTTCCCTCTGAACTTCAGTCTCTAGAACGAACATACCAGTTAATAAGGAGATTGTGAGGATTAGAGAGAATGAATGTCTTTTGCCTAGAATAAATACTTTATAGATATTCAGTGGGTGGTGGCAGGTAAGACTATTCTAATCGCTGATATTAATACACTTGTTGTTATTATTCCTTGGGGGGCACACACCTACTGTTTTGCCAGGCGCTGCTTTCTCTCTGTAGGTACGCTCTTATTGCTAAGGATATGCTTGTACTCAAATGTCTCACCAGGGAGATGAGAGATAGTGAGAGGGTCAACTACGTAAAAGTAGGAAAAATGAAATGGAGTAAGCCAATATATTCCAGGAAAATTTTCAAGGAGTATTAATCTTAAGTAACTGAAATTTTGAGTCTCTCCATAAATAAAAGAATTACATGTAATTTTTTGTGCTCTCATGTCTTTGTCAATTGAAGTCATAATTATGAATTAAATGGACCTATTTAATACATATGGGTAAGTATGGAAGATACAACTTTTGAGTGATTTCATTAAGTAAAATTCTGACTTCTACAAACAGTTCATGGTTTTTGTGGTCTCCTTGGTCAGACGAGACAAAAGGGAGAATCTATGGAAAGTTTATCGTGAAGATTGGCATACGAGGCCGTGTGTCCGTGATCTTGTGACATGAGCCGTCATACACCACCCTGGCCTGGGACAGCAGCACAAAGTATTTACACCATTCCTGCTTTTCTAACGTAGAAAAACATCTCAAAAGTAATATGGAATGTTCTCTCGAAGACTGGAGTCGTGAATGATAACACATGAAGCACCAATTTTACTCCAGAGGAATTTGCATCGTAAAGGCTTTTACTGCTCTAGAAGTTAAAAATGTCTGATTTATCCATAAAAAGTATTTGTATCTGTTTTTTAATAAGTCACCAACATTTTAAAATTGGATATTTCATATAAAAGTCATAATTTCTGGCTTAATGAATTTGAAAAATCATAAATTACTGCCCATCTGGTCCTGTGTGTGTTATGGCAAGAGAGAAGTTGATGCTGCTTCTAGAGGTGGGCAGTCTTCCACCTCTCCCCCCCCACACAAATGCTTCCCTTGTTTAAGTTTGCTGCTGGCTCCTGTGGACACTGGACGTGAGACTTCTTCATAAGGTCAGGGAGCACCACTGTTTGTTGGCACTGCAGGCCCCACTGGACAGGTTTGGGCGTTTTGGTTTGGAGAGGGAGTGCTCCCAGCATCCTTCAAACCATACTACCTAGGCAGCCAGCTCCCTGCGGGGACTCTGCAGCTAAAATACTTGGAATTATTTGGACTTCATTTTAACAAGAAAATGCATTTCCACAAAAATAAACCCAAAGCACAAAATTTTTCTGGGGTATTTGATTTATTACAGGAAGATCAGCTGCTATTTTACCATAAAACGAGTTTGTTTTGTCCCATTCTCAGGGTTTTGAACGGCCAAGAACAGTCAGATAATTTTTATTGTTGACTATTATACAGGCAGTGCCAGGAAAAGTGGTGAGGTATTTGTACAAACTCCAGTTATTTTCTATTAATAAACAGATGTTCAGAAACAGCTTCAAGGCTACAGTGATTTGCCATGAGGCCTGACTCAGTTGCTAACACATGGTATATAGTCTGGACTTAATCTAAGTTAGCTCTTTACAAACCCATTAGAACTTAACTGCCTTGCTCTTTAGACTTTCTCAATCACTGGGAAAGGGAAACCCACAGCCGTCAGGTGGTTACATCCACTTTTCTGCTGAAGCCAAGTTCATGTTCCTAGAGCTGCACGTAGCTGAAGAAAGAGACATGGCTGACACGTTTGTTATATATTCATGGTCATTCACCTCCCGCAAATGGGTCCTGAAGGCTGCCTGGGAATCCTAGTTCCCTAGTCTATTCCCTGTCCTACTCTTCTGCAGACTTTTTCAGACTTTTCTTTCACTGCCTCCAAGACTTCGTCCCCTCAGTCTCACTCAGGTGAAGACCTTGCTTCCAACTTCACTCCAAGTAATGAAGCACTCTCAGCATTTCTGTGAACACCCTATCTTCTCCCCTATTACTGTGACTAAACAGGTCTCACATTCGACAAAGGCTGACACCTGTTTATGCACCAGATCCTATCTCCCTCCCACTTGCTCACAGGTATTGCTCTAGCAACACCTCCCCCACTTTCTCATTATAAATCACTTCCACTGTACTAGATATCCCTCCAGGGCCCCCACTTCTTGCCTTCACTTGCTGTCTGCAATGTCTCTTCTTCCATTCTCTCTTAGACACAATCATCCTTGCCCTCCATAGGTTAGTTTTTCTCCAAGTCACCAATGATCGCCATGTTGTTCAATCCAAGGGTCAATTTTCTGTCCTCATCTTAATTGATCTTTCAGCAGCATTTGGCAGAATCGTCCACCTTCTCAATCTTGAAACAAAGTCTTCTCTTGACTTGCAGAGAATACAACTTGCCTGATTTTCTTCCTAATCTTCCTAAATGCTTTTTCCCAA